TACTAGTTTTTATTATTATGGCTATTTTTAGAAATACATTTAATGCAAATTGTGTTCTGGGTCAGAAAAAATCGCTCTAGTGAAAGTATCCACTCCCATGCTGTCAAAGTATATAGTCTCTGACAAAAAGTCCAAAAAATATCCATCAGACACATATCTGCAACATTTTTGTGAAAGGATTTGCAAACAAGTTATTGGATGAATTCCTATTTTTTTATTTATTTATTTATTCAAAACTTTTTTATGCCGCCACCATATGCCTCGGCATCCCGGGACGGCTCACAGCCGTAGTTCCCCATTTTCTCAGTATGCCTGCTTTAAGTCAGTTGAGGCAAACACCATCTGCTGTGAAAATTTTGCTTGTGGGGAGTGGAATAAAGAATAAAGAACGGTGATGAAAGTTATATATAAATATACATAATTATAAATATGCAAATCAAACATTTAAATCAGAATAATTTTGAATTCCAGTAGCAACATTGATATTTAAAACATAGATACATTCATACTTAGGTTTTATGAAAGTTCCTGAACACACACAAAATGTTTCTTGCCTCTCACCTAAAGAATGATCAACTGGAAATTAACCAACAGGCCAAAGTTATATACAAATGGATAAGCTTAAGCAATTAAAGTAATTCAATCGACCCTTACACAGAAATACTAACCTCTCAGAGCTTTGGCTACAGGGCAGTATAAAAATGAAATAAATAAAAATACATTTTTTCTGCTTACAGTTGGGCTTACTCCTTCATAAGCATGCATAGGATGTTACCCTATAACTGAATTAATTGCTGCAAAACAGCTTTCAGTTATATTACATTTATGAGATTTATGCCATTTGCATGATGTCAGTTGTTTAAGCTCACTACACAGCGCTGCCTTGCCAGGATTAGTTTCATCTTACCTGTGCTCTGTGCTATTGTAGCTGGCCAAAAGCCTGTGTTCTCTGTCCCTACCAAATACAAATGTTCTGGGCCATATCACAATATTTGCTAGGCTGGTGTGTATGTGCTTTGGAAGGGCCTATTGACCGTTGCATCCATTCACTGTCACAAAAACATATTATCTTACAAGAGGTTCTAATACCATCTAGCTCAATATTTTCTAAACTGGAATTAAGCAGATTTCAGGCTTGCAGGATTATTTGCTTTTTTACTAGAGAATCGCCAATCAGAGCCCAGGTGCAAAATAGCTATGTAGGACAGGGTGCCTCTGAGCACATGCTCAGATCAGGAACTTGTACTAAATACTAGAACCAGCTTGCAACTGCTGTCAAGCAAAAATCCATTCCTGGTTTTCCCTCGAGCATTTTTTCAGCAATCTAATATAAAGAGTGGGGGTGAGTGGAGGATCTTCTTAGCTGTAGCTTTTGTAAAATTGGGATTAAGAAATCTGCTAATTGCACAGGGGTCTATCAGGAGATAGTGTATCTTCTGCCATTTTCTGGTTTATAATGACTGATAGACGCTGAGGAATCTTCCTGATCCACAATTTCAGAAGCCCAGGACTGAACCCAGAAACCTTTCATGCAAGCATGTGGTCTACCACTGAGCTACAACACTTCTATGCTTGGACAACTGCCTCAGGTCAGGGAACCGAGCACTTAATTTTCAACAGACTCAGTTAAAGAATATCACCTATGATGTCACAACAGGATTGATTTCATCTCACTCACTTCCACCCGGTAACATTTTTGATATTAAACATCACTTCACAACTAACTGTCAGGATCTGCAGATTGAAGCTAGTTCATGAGTAGGGATTAGATAACCATACATCATCATTTCTGATCCAACACCACTATTATAATATTCATAGAGAGCAGAGCAGTGTCTGCACAACATCTGATCCAGTCACGCATACTGCAATGGCAGAAGAAAAAGAGGAAGCCATAAGCTAACTCCTAACTTTTCATTCCATGGTCTTCTCTAAAGCCATTTGAAACAACCCAATCATTTAAAATTACTTTAGGGAACTTTTAATCGGCCTATACACAATTGAAAATATAATTTCAAAAGGTTATCAAAATCTATGAATGACTCTACAGCACTAGAAAACCTCCCTCATATCTCTGTGATTACAGCTTAAAATTCATACCTCGAACCACAAACTAAATGTACAGTCTTACATAATGTTTCATTCTGTAAAAATTCACAAATTTAAAAAGTTAAAATTTTACTGTTTGAAAACAACTGAATTATAATACGGCGTAAAGAGAAAGATTGAATAGCTATATGTTTTCTGCTTCATTGGCAATAGTAACTTACTGATCATATCCTATTTGTGTTTTAGCAGAATATTGTTGATTCTAAGGCTATGTTTAGTGATTGAAAGAAAACAGTGGTGTATTCTGCTACCTTCAAGCCGTGTATCCAAATATACCCACCTCAGGAAGAGGTAAGACTACTTTATTTTGATTGCAGTGTTTTCCCCAGGCAGAGAATTTTATTTCAGTTTGAATCTTTAAACCATTACATTTTCAGTGATGCATTTTTATATTTACAGTTGACATCTTCATAGAAGAATGGAACCTCTGACCAACAGTTCTAAAGCATGAAGTTTGCCTCAAGTAAGTACTTAAATTATTTTACACCCAAATGGAGCCAGTTGTTTTTAGGTAAAATCTGATAAATCTTAAACTGAAGACCTTTTCTTTAAATGAAGGACTTGAATTGAGAAAATAAACTTGCCAATGAAATATGTATTTGTTCAAAAAGCCCATTGAAACCTGAACAGTTGAGGCAGTTTATCAGCATGTCAACATTTTTCTCTTAAAGTCCCTGTCTCAGTTAAAGGTGCAGAGCAAGATGCCTTGATTAATTGAATACTATCGATGTAAGTGGCTAACAGTGATCTCATTGAGAGTAATCAATAAAAATCCCAAATCAATTTATTGTGGCTTACTTTACAATTCATCAAGCAGAATACAACAAAGTTATCTGAATGCTTTAGTTATAACAGTGTTAAAGCTTGATATTAGAAGCTGGAAATATTAAACTGTTTCAAGGATTCACTAAATTTTTATGCTAAATGGAATTATTTTCTTAATTTTGTAGAAAGCGGGCCAAAGAACATACAATATGTGCCACAATTTGGTCCACTTAAGTATTCTACTGTCTCTTCAATTTGTGCTTTATGTACATTTAAACTTTTAAAAACTATATATACTAATAGCTATTTTGGTATGGTGCCTATGCATTTCATTTTATTATTTTGTACACTTAAATATGCACACAAAGACATGGTTTAGTTTTGCTTAAGTTTATTTAAAATCAGTTGTAAAATGATAGCCAAATTTTCAGGTTTAAATAATGTTAATAACAACTGAATCTTTGGCGTCAGATATTAAAAAGAATGGTGGAAATCTTGGATTATGAAATAAGGTCTTCATCCTAAGATTAGCATATGTATTTAATAACGAGGAAGATGATAAAGATGCTGAAATTTTCTGAAGAATACTTGAAATAGATCTATTCCACTTATCAGAAGAGTTGCTATTGTTGCCAAGGGCTCCCTTTTCAATATATTCACCCACAGTTTAGTCAAGGTAATAAGTCCTCCATTACTCCATAGGCACAAGCACCAAGTTATTCAATTTAAATGGAAAAAACACATGCCATGTCTAAAACATTTACTTTTGTTAATGTAAAAGTGTTGGCATTTTGCTCTATTCCTGATAAGCTGGTGCCAGTGGAAGTGATTATTCTTTTCTTATTCAAAGCATATCAGCAGTCCAAAGCACTCTCAATCTTATCAGGTGTATGAACAGCACAGTTACTGAAAACAGTTTGTCCTGCTTCTCTCTCCTTCTTCTAGGCTATCAGATAAACCCAACTAACTAACTGTATTTACACACAATCAAACATAAGCTGTATCTTGGAAGAACTGTTGACTGATTTCAACATGCTACAGGTTTGCTGCTAGACTTTAGTGTCACAAAATTGTCTGCAGTGTGTATCCTCAAAAGACAACCAGGAAGAAACCTCTATTAAAAATAAGAATATGCCATTACCATGAAAAGGGGATGGCAGGAAAAAAATAAGGAACCCAGAACTACCTTCAGGAATTAATACTTTTGATGCAACTTCTCCATAATATTTGCATATGAATTCTGCTCCAATTTCATGCAGCATGAACTTTCTGTGGCAATATGTGTTTGCATACCTATGTTTCTATGTTTTTCTCTTGGCTTACTAACTTCCTTCAATTCATATTTGTATTGATTGATTAACTAACAAAGAAAGAAGCTACTTGCACCAGGAAGAGCATATTCAATTAAATATGTTATATTTGATAATAAGGAACACAATCCTTGCTCTTGCTCCACAGCTGATGAAGGCTTCCGTGTGTTAATGCTACCCCAAACCTATTTACAGAATTCTTATGCTGGACACCTTTTACAGAAAGAAATGGCAGGCACATGCTTCCACCTGAGCCCTACCTTGTGCTTCTGCATCAACTTCAGGAAGAGAAGAAACCATCCTCCATGAATGACTCTTTGGCCCCCATGATTAATGGGACAGGTGTCAGTCGTGCTAATGTAGCTGTTCAACTCCTGCTAATATGTCCCTATGCCTGCTGTAGAAAACCATTCTCAAATATGATGGTGATACAGTATCCAGAAGACTTATTTCAAATACCTGAAGTCTCAGCTTCCATTTCTACTGCACCTGGGAAAATACAGCTTGAAAGAAATGGTGTTTTGCGCCACTGCAGAACATATGATCAACTCTACTAGCTAGATGGCTGCTATGAGAATATTTAAAACATTGTAAGAGAAGAAATACTTAATATTTGTTGGAAAAAGTGTCTTTTTGCTCTGTGAATTTAACAGAATATGTATTATCAGTCATTACAATTATTCACATGTTGGTATTTGTCAGTTTTCAGAAATCAACTGTATTTTTCCATTTTTAAGTTATCTCCTTATTATCTTTTCCTATTTCCGCTTAACTTTAAATAAACAATGCAAATTATTTATTTGTTGGTTCACTAACCTACATGGACCAGGCTTGCCAAAATGAATTCCTCTGGTGTATATTGCAGCCATAATAAACTTTTCATCTGACATCACCTGGGAATATTTAAGAAAAAAAAAAGAATCTTTAACTTAGGAGTCAAACTAAAACCTACAGCAAATCCCAAAAAATGACAAGCTGTGAAAATCTAGAAACAAACAAAACAAAAAGGCAATTGTATATACAGATATAAAAGTCAGCAGTTGTTTTCTGACAGCTTATCCATAATGGAGGATAATTTTAAATAGCAGTATGAAGGTGCTGAACAACCATTTTTGTTGAATACGATACAATATTGTACTAGCTGCTGTATGTAAGATACAAAAATACTTTGAAAAAATATTTAAAACACTGCAGATGTTAGATCAGAGTGGGTGTATGCTCCAAAATTATTCCTGTCAACAAACTATGAAAAAAGGAAGGAACAGAATCCCAGGAGGGAAAAGCAGTGAGCATAAAACAAGCCATCTTATCCTCCTACACACTGTCCTTATCTAGTTAGATCTTTATATGGGTAGGAATTTAACTATTGCTCAGGACCCAGTCAACATCAGTTCATGTGGCTTTTCTCTCTTATATTTGTTACTCACTGTGCAGCTGTATATTTTTAAGGAGACAGAGTTTGAATTGGAGTGGTATAGTTTCTTGCTGGCTCCATATGCATTTATTTATTTATGTATTTATTATTTGCTGGAAACAAATTGGCAGTATGTTCTCATTCTAACTAGCCAGAGCCATCAACCTCTGATCACACCTATTAAAATCCCTTTGTAGCCCATGCAACATCTTGCGACAGCTTGCCCAGTTGTTTAAGGAAAGGGCATGTGATGGAGCAAAGCTAAATCGACACATCTGTGATACTTCTGATGCCCCCTCAGCATGGCTAATATTAATTTGTTTTCTTTGGCTAGGTAAGTGCTGCCAAAATGCATTATATATGGTATGTAGTTCCAATCAAAATGATGAGAAAGATATGTGCAGTTTTGTATCACTCGAAACAAGAAAAAGACATAAAGGAGTAAGTGAGAAAGCAGCCTGTAAACGAATAATGCTGAGAAACGTCTGCATAGATTTTGCTTTGCCATTTTCTTCAATAAGTGAAACAATCATTGTGACCACCTATTTCAGAGGCTTACTTCCAAAGATTCTTGTGCAGAAATGGCAGGCATTTTCACTTGTGTGGGATGTTGCCAGTTTCCCCACCCCACTTGTGCCCCCACTGATCTCCAAAAGAACTAGTTTTACAGGATTGATGGATTTTCCTGAGCAAGTTCTGGGAAATGGAAGTTGCAAGTCAGACAACAAATCAGCTGCCTCTTCCAGCACAAACAGTGCCTTCTGCTAACACAGGAAGAACTTTGGATCATATTTTTACAATAAACTGCCAAATTTTGATTTTTTTATTGATATTATCTTAATATATACAAACTCAATTCTTGTAATTAAACCTGTTTTTACACTTATTTGGGAATATATCCTTTTCCTCAATTATAAAGGAGAAAAACCCTCAGACCATGTTAATGTGCACATAATTGCATTGTTATCGTATTTTATAATATGTTAAGTAAATGCACACAGATTTGCAAATTAATAATAAATGCATAGATGAGCTATTTGGGGAAAAGCAACTCTTAAAAAAAACTAACATTTCGGTCCAAAAAAGGAAGACTAGTTCAATACATACGTGTGTGCACATGCATGTGTGCGTGCATGTGTGTGCTTGTATTGCTGTGGCTGGAGAGTGTGGCCTGAGAATAAATTCAAGTTTTTGCAAAATGGTTAATACCTCTCACAAACACTTTACAAGACATAATATAATACTGAATACAGTCTTTAGGAAAATCCAGTCCACAAAGGAATAATAAAGAAATCTTACGACCCAGCCAAGCAAATTAAGGAGGAAGTTTCACACACGCGTGCACGCGTATGCTTTTTATGGTATACATATCAGTTTATCTGAATTAAGAATTAGTGGTGGGATGAAACAAGCAAACAAAAGCAAATTCTAGGCAAAGCTTTTATTCCTTAAAATAAAAAATGTGAAGAAGAAATTTATAGATGAGCCTCTTTTGAAGAGTAACCTGTTCTTAATTAGAAGTATTTCACAATGGGAAGGGAAGGAATATATAATCATTCCATTAAATTTTATTTGGTATAGGAGCGAATAAGGCTACCTTGCCATTCTAAGCCCTGTTATTCACCAGTAGGTCCTACTAATGGAGCTTAATTGTGTGTGCGGGTGTGTGGGTGTGGGTGTGTACGCGTGCATGTGCATGTAGGATTTTTTTTTAAATTTCAGGCTTTTTGGAGGATTTAAACTGGATGCATCATTATCCAAGAGTTACACTAGTTACTTGCGAGAACAAACAATTACAATTGTTTCTGTAATTATAATCCAAACTACATTATCAAATTTTGAAAAATTGGAAATGAAATCCTGTAAGTAGTTTAATGTTCTTTTGAGCGTATTCAAGCTCAACACAAAACATTTAAAACAGAAAAGCAATGGAAACTTAAAGGTGTACATATCCTACATATCTAATGGCAGATGTTTACCTATTTTGCCTTTAGACCCACATAATACTTTTAACATTAAATTGCTCTTATGTCAGAATGTGTTAAGCTTTTAGAATATAAACATAAAATTCCTAGCTGTCATAAATGATGAATGCAGAAGTTCAAAAAACTGAATTATATTATCTTCTGTTGCAGAGAAAATATGAATATGAAAATGATGACACCTGGACTACATAGTCCAGGAATGCTCCAGGGAATGCCAAATTTCCCCCTAATTCTTGTGGTGTTAGGGAGTTTATTTAAAGAAATTGAAAAACTTTATATGGTATATACATGCACACATTTTTAGAGAAGAACTATAATCACAATACAGATATTATAAGGTACACTCATATAAAGCTTGTATCCATTTGTCCATACAACAATTGCCTGCTCTGATAAAAATATAATTGTTTTATATCTAAGTAAATATATGTATTAGCAGAAAAAGAAAACATGAAACAAAATCCTGAGAGAAACCCCTACTCAAAAATGTGGAAGACATGTAAAATGTGCATGTCAGACTACAGAAGACTGCTGGTTGTCATCCCAGCACTATCAAACACATACACGTGAGCATGATTGGAGACAGAGAAGCTAAATATTTCACTGTCAGAGCATGTCGAGAAGTGCAATTCATTTCTCTCTCATGTGCTTTAGGACAATGACAATTTAATACAAGGCCAGTGGATGTAAAAGAGATAAAAACCAAACCAGCACAGCATAATCACAAATTTCTTCCTGGGAGCTTGGAGGGCTAGAAAGGCACTAGGCAGAGATCAACATTTTATTGTTTTTGTCCCGCAATGAATGTGCTATGAAGCAGAATCCTAACCATATGTAATATAACCAAGTTACTTTAAACTTCCAGAGAGATGCCACATCTGATTTGTTCCAAATTTCTTGTATCCAGCATTTTTTACCAAATGACCACAAGGTAACAAGAATTTTTATAAAGGGCCATTGCTTTGAAGAGTGTCAATGAATATTGGTATTGTTCATTTCTATTTGTTCTTCCAGGGAGATCAAAGCTAAAAGGTCCCTGTGCATCTCAAATGTTCAATACCAGGAAGTTTGTCAGTGTATTTGAGTACACTTTAATAATAGGCATAGGGCTAATAAATAGAGCCAAGCAACATAGTATTGCAATTTAATATTGAATACAATATTAGGCTCACGCTTAAAAGGTGAAGGATCTTGAAGAATTGTTGAAAAATAATCACAGACAAGTTACCTTCTATGTGATGTATAGTGCCATGTATTTTGAAATTAATTGTAAAAGTCGGGCTTTGCTAATGAAGTGGTTCTTATCTTTCTTCAGCAGTCCAAGCGGAAGTATTTTTTTTCCTGTGGGCTTAATATCTTTTGCCTCCTTTTAAATGCCCAAAGTCATACCCAGCGTAACTTCGCATCAGTTGATAACAACAACATGTATTGACTCAGATGCCTTCATTATCCAAAATATTGGTTTCAAAAAAGGGTAACTTTAATTCTATTATTTTATTGTTCTGAAAATAAACCTTTTCTAAAACCTCCTGCCCCTTTAGATTTACTCACCAGTAGGCTTAAAGCAAACAAAACCATTAAAGTGTTAGCTATGTTACTCAAATTTTTACTCTATTTTTCCTGGAGTGGCAGTTTATCACATGCCTTATTTATTTTGAAATGAAATACTGTAAAAAAAATCTTAAGGTAAACAAGGGGGAAGGTAGAAAGTAACTGTGTGTGTGTGTGCGTGTTGGGTGGGGAGGTGAAATGATCATCCATTCAAGAGAATTAATGGATATTCACAAGGGCTTTGCTAATAACACAGGTTAATTACTGCTGCAACACATCAGGCTCAGTAAATAAAAGAACAGAACCATAAACACATTAAAATGAGCAACCATCACTAAAAAAGGGGGGTGGGGGTCAGGCCCAGCAAATAAAAAGCTGTCAGACAGCCATTTCAGTACCAGCTCTTTGCACTCTCTGTCAGCTCTAAAAACTGAACAACAGAAATCCAAACTTGGAAAATATTTAGTAAATGGAAGGAGGAGGTTGTCACAAGACCTATCTGAGAGGATCTATATAAAAGCTCATTTTGAAGGACCATCTAAGTAATTCTCATTTAGTCAGTAAGGATGCAAATACTGTATTTGGTTAGTAAGAAATCAGTCTTTAGATTTTCCATGCAAATTGACTCTGTGTTAAAGTAACACACACACTTACCTACAGATATTTATGGGAAAACTATCACTTGCGTTACATAGGGCGCCCTCACTCTAAAGAAAGTAACCTTACAGTCAAATCAGAAGTGTTAACTTCCGCCTGACTCAATTAGCTACCCCTCCCCCAGAGCAAATACTGCACATTTTTCCGTATCAAATTTTCTGGAAAGCAAAGCTATACAATAACAGAAGGAGGAATAATAAAAATAAATGATTATCTAGCAATTTCATGAATTACACTAATAAAGAAGGGCAATGATTCCACAGAGCACTTCTCAAAAAATAAAACTGTTCTTTTAAAAGTAAATTTGCAAAATTTGTGTACAATCTTTTAAAAATGCAAATATCTTTTGTCTCCCAATTCTCATATCAGTGTTCACTATTGAAATTTCAGCCATCAATCCTAAGTCTCAGTTCTTGGCATTTGTATATTTTATCTTGTGTACTACAAAGCAAGTTTGCTGATTTGTATATGTTTAAAATCATGTCTACTGTGACATTCCCATTAGCTCTGTCTCATTTCAGTACTGTTTTGTTTTAATGGAGGAAGTGTGAAAGAGGTCAAGGGTTCAAATTCATGCAAAGAACAAGGCTGCAAAGGCAAATGTACACAGTGCAGAAAAGACATCTGAAGTCACAAATCTATTTGTCTTTCTATGCCTGGCATTCAGAGATCATGTTTAAATTTACTAAGCAAGGTCCTCCCCCTCCCCTTTTTTGGAGTGTTTCAATTGCCTTTCCTTCTTCCAACAGCTGTGACAACTGTTAAAACAGTCAGTAAAATTAAGTCCAGTCTATAATCCTTTAGTCAATGTTACATTTTAATCAGAGGTTGGAGGAGATTTCTTGGAGGAGATTTCATATTATGACTACAGTGTTTCATTTAGAACAATTAAAGTGACACATGTGTAAATCGACAAATATATTTATTACATCTGTTCAGTTATTAACTTCTATTTGAAATTATTGCCTTTAGTTTTTTTGCTGAAAAGGCAAAAACAAGTGTTGCAGATGGCGTTAAGTTTTTGCATTCTTTAACAGGCGCTAGCCAGATATCAAAGCATACCTAGTGACAGTAAGGCAGATGTCTATGCGCTCTCCAAATGTTCTCTCAGATTTTAGCCAGGTTCTACCTCCCCCTTAGTGCAAACTCTAGAAATAATCAGCTACTTTTATTTCATCTCTGCCTTTATAGCTCAGTGTGCATCATATGCTACAAAGCAAAAACACAATTACTAGCTATATGAATAGCAAGTAAGGGTCTGTGGTTTATTAATTGAGACAGAGAGGCAGATGTGTTGCTGGGCATTACATAGTTCTGCCTGCCCAGTGAACCACAGATCCATCCAGCCATACATCCGGAAGACTTTTAAGAGAAGGGGGGGGGGGAGAAGAAAGCTAATTGTGGCAAAGGATGGGGGAAAGGAGGGAGGGTAGTTTGAATCTTTAACCAGAAACAAAAAGGCACGTGCCCTGATTTCATTTAAATGTACCTACTTTAAGAAGCTTATCAAAACTAATCATTCAAATTAGCTCTAAGAAGGTAAATTCAAGAAAGCTCCTTAAAAAAAGAACATCTTCCTAACTTTAGAATCTTTCCCCTCCCCTCACCCACCAAAGAAAACTATCCACCTCCACTTGGAACAGTGACAACTGGACTTATGCACAGATCAAGACATTTTTGACCACGATGTACATCACCTTACCAAGCACTGATCTATAAACCACATCTCAGAAACCATGCTAATATTGTTTATTTACTTTCTTCTGCTGAGAAACAAGGAATCCTGCCCCCCCACACACACACACCAGTTTCCTGTGCTTTTATTGCCCATCTATATTATTTCCAAACATCCAAGGCACTTAAAAAAAGTCAGACTTAATTGCAATTCTCCAATGTAACATGCAGACACTAAGGACAGCTAGTGGGCATATACCCACAATACACTGTCACTAGGGATGAGTCAGTTGACAGCTTGCACACTGTGTAGTTATTTAGGCCAACATTAAGTTTACAAGCTAAGTTCTAGAGTGCTAAATTTGTGCCTGGAATCCCCCCCCCCCTCCATCACTTATCAGCTAAGAGAACATGCACTACCCTATATAACTATGAAAGGTACACTAAGTATACTGCATACACCAGCATTTTATTCTAGTCTTATTTTACTTTGTAGAATAAATTGAATAGTAAAAAATAGTCATTATTATATTTCAATTAAAATAAAACGCACAAGCTGAGAAATTGCCCCCCAACACACACCCCTTCTTTGCTACTTAATACACTGATTTGTCACTAAATGACTACAGCCTAACATTAGAGCATTTAATTACAAAGCACTATCTTTAAAGTGGGATTAAACAGTTGGGCTAGTTTTCTGCGTAACTGTGCATAGTAAGAATCTGCAAAAAATCCAGGATCAAAATATATATCTAACTGAAAGTGTCCTAAATATCTAACTCCTGTTTTAGAATATAACCCTTCATAGAGGGGGAAGGAAATGTGTCTTTCTGAAAGGTCTATTTAAACAATTCACTCCGGCATTTGTGCCAAGTGCCTATTCTTAGTACCTGAATAAGAAGTGACTGTCACTCACACAGCTGTTTTACTGACAGTCACACCGCTTGCGACTGAAAAGGTAACACTGTAGGGAGAGAACAATTCTTCCACTTACTGAATTAGCAGATAAAGCCGGGCACAAAAGAGACAAGACAGACACAAACAGCCCCACTCATGCACACGGAAGCCATAAGGCATTTTACCTGAAATAGCATTTAGCAGTGGGTGTATCACTATGATTATCCCCCGCAAGCCCCCCCCCCCCCCCAGTTTGGAAGGGGGAAGAGTAGGAAGGAAAAGAAAGCAAAGGAAGGAGGGAATAAGAAGAAAGGTACCTACTCTTCTTCGTAGTGCAAGGAAAAAGATTCAGGAAGGCAAAGTTCTACCGAATCCATGTGCGCTCAGCAACCATTATTTGTGCACCCCAGCTATAAATCAAAGTTTCCTTGACACCGCACAGTGCAATTAACACAAATGTTCTCCTGGTGACAAGCCTATAGGCACAGCCAGTTGGGACCAAAAGCTCTCACACTCTCCTAATCAAGGACTTAAAGCCCCGATTGGAGCTTATAAATATGAAGTAGGGCTTTACATATGCAGTCCCACTGGCCCAGACACATACCGGATTGGTAGAGCATCGGCCAATCAGCGCCGGCGAGAAGAGAGGCTGCACAGATTGAGCGGAGCTCGGCAGGTAGAGAGACGGGCGGAGGGGACTGGAAGGGGCACCGAGGGAGGGAAAAAAGCGACAACTGAGAACACACAACAGATCTGAACGATGCAACGTTTTAAAAGGGGGCTTCACAGGCGCGCCGCTTCTGAACTCTTAAGGGGCTAGCGTTAACTCTTTAGGTGGCTGATGCTTTCTGCTTCTTAACTTTCAGTTTGGCAGGAAGGAGAGCAAGCTCACTTATTTTTTGTGAAGATTTCATCATAAGGTATAAGTTTGCGCTGCTGTTCTCTTTCTGCATTGCGTTGTTGGCGGCTGTCTGTCTGCTTCGTATATGTCATTTCGTACTTTGGTACTGATCTGTTCTGCCCTGTCCGGTGCATGTTTACTCAGACGCTTGCTCTGGGTTCAATAGAGATTACTCCCCAGGCAGTGTGTACAGGGCTGCACCAAAGGCGCACTTACTGGCAAGAAGGAAGGAGCCGCGCTGACCTCAGTGAGGTTTTTATTTTTGAATAAACATGCATGGGGTTGGGTTACTCAAGTACGAGCTTCGTTTAACTTACCGGGGCTTACATTGGAGCAAATGTTGAGGAGCTTGTCGGTTGACAAATCCTCAATATACTTACCTCCGAGTAAACGTTGAAATATCTTTGCTGCCTCCCTCCCTAATTCACCTAAACTCTATTTTCCATTTCTAAAGACTAAGAGACGTGATTTATACGGGTTCCTTTTGTATTGCTGAGTTTTGTAAACATATAAAACTAGCAGCGTGCTTGTATTGGATCGTTCTGTGAAAGAGGATGCCAGGGAACTAAAGAGAAAAGAACTCTGGAGCTTGTCTTCCCATAAACAGTCTGAAAATACTCTAACAGCATTTCTGCAGAAAGAGGAACATGCATTAATGGAGAGTTTGGGCTACTGGGCAGAATGAAATGTAATAAATAAAAACTTGTCAATTTTGACAGATATATTTTACTTGCTATCTCCATGAAAGAATAAGAATAGATGCTTATTGATCAATATATTCAATATGTCTTAACAGTCTTTACTTGAATTCAAGTCCCATTGATTTCAAGGAAATTTACTTCCAAGTAATCCAGTGGGATATCCCAGCAGATTAGGCTCTTCAGCAGTGCTAAGGCTTCAATGCTATATACAATAACTTGGCCACAAGTCCCACTGAAGTCAGAGGATATCATTCTAAACAAACATGTCTTGGAAAAGGCAGTTATCTACTTAAATCTTAATGCTGTGCTTTAACTTTGTGTGCTTATACTACATGGATGCAAAGAGCACAAAACCCACTAGGATTTGCATCATATAGATGCAAATACATTGTATGATTTGCATCCCTGCCTTCAAAATTATCCACCCCCCTAATTCCCCACTCCTGGCTACAGGATGTCAAAGCTGCTGACCTCCTTCACTGAACAAACCTATTTAATGCAAATAAATGGAAACTAGGCTCTAGATGAAAATGAAACATTTTACAAGGATTCACACAAAAAGCTGGGGCATAACTTTGTCCTATAAACATTCTTTGTTAATTTAACATGGTATAGAAGATGTCATAATTATCACTGATTTTCAGAGAAAGGGTTGCTTCTTTTCTAATACTTTCTATACAAGGTGATGAAATAATTACAATCAAGGAAAATAGTTTTTCCCACTAATTCAGCTTTACTGCTTGTAAAAAAATTTCCTTGAGTGAAGCACTCCATGATGCAAATGGCATAATCTTCTAGATCAAAACAAATCAGTGCTCACCCTCAGAATGCATTAATGCCATTCACAAATGGGAATATAACAGCTGTCTCCAAATCTATTTGATGGCTTTCACCAAAGTAAGATGACATACAGAAGACAAATAAATGTAAGTTCAATGGACATGTTTGCATCTCTTTGTTTTACTGAGCAACTTCTAGCATGCCATATATTTGACGCATGTACAGCTCTGCTTCTTATACATGGAGAAAAGTGCATACAAGATTTAGAAATCTGGAATCCATACTGCAAAACTAGAGCTCTCACCAGTAAAGAAGGTAGTAAAGGCTTAATTGCCACTAGCATTATGCTGCATATATTGCTAAAAGTAGACTCTAATTAACATGTAAATTTTGGTTGTGAGCAAAGAATTAAAGCATCCTGCCCAAGTATTCTGCAGATTCACTTGCAAGGAAAAAAAAGAGGGGGGCATATTTTTAATAATTTAAAGCCTAGCAGACCTTCTTGAAAAAAATTAATAAGAGAAATCACTTGTGTATAACTGATGTATTTAATTTCTGTATCACTAACATGTAATGATATCCAGAGTGTCTTTCCATAAGCATTCTGAAACAGATCCCATACATATAGAATATACATAACACATCCTGGTTTTTTGCATTCAGTTATATATTCAAAAGCTGTTCTGGCGCATATGCTTGAAAGTCTTGTCGAACACACACCTTTGTTAAGCTTTACACTTAATAGCCTGGACAGCTAAGTATAACCAAGGCTATGTATTGGGATGTGGCATAATAGCTTATTAAATTGTGATTATAAAATACAAAATTTTTCTTAAGGACACTATAGTTAGCTGTGAATGTCCTTTGGGCTACTGTCTTCTTTTGTGCGCTGCCTTTGCATCTGCTAAGCTTTTCTTATTCACATACTTTCCGCTATCCTTTTGCTTGTCCATATCATTTTATGCTACCTCCCACTGCCCACTCACTGAATTAACTATTGCTATCTTTACACCAGACACCTTGCAAGCATATGTCTTTGCTGCTGCTGCTGCTTAGAAGACCACAGCCGTTGTAGTATAATTTATGCATCCATGAAAGGCAGTTGGCCTTCTCCCGTGGGACTCAAAATGTCACCTCCAGTAGACCTGGGCCTGGAATTTCAACTGCATTCTTGAACTTGGGCATGCCAGTTACAGTTCAGTTATTTCAGTAAAATAAGAAATAAACAAGGCAAGTTCATGATATTATTAGCGTCTTTTTATGAAAAGAAATTTGTTTCATTAAAGATGCTTTAAGAAGAGAGCCTTCTGGAAACAAAGTAAATGCTTATTGCTTAAGCTCTACATTATTGCAAGTGTAAGTTCGGGTCTGCATTCTCGCTAGCTCTCTTTCTTTATATACACATGCAGTCTCGCTAAATCAAATGCTTCAACGTAAAATCTCACCTCAAGGAGTCCGCACACAGCAATAGTAATGGAATCAGTGCTGGGAGGGTGAGAAAAGCTGTCATGAGTATCTGCACCAGTCAATGAGCACTGCTGAACAGTGTCTACATCTTCACATCCCCTCTGTGCGTATAATTATCCCCATGTAGACTACTGTACATCTTTAAGCGCCTTCACACTTAAGTGCTACAGACATCTCATTGCATCCAAATTGCTAGACTGCTAAACCACAGCTACCTCAAGGCTACTGAAGTAAAGATTCAGTGGCACTTTGCAAAAGCAGTAGTTAATTGTGCCAAGTACATATTTACTTTTTAAAAAGCACCAGAGACTATAGATAGATAGTGAAGGGGAGGGATATACTATGACCCATGTATATATTACTGCTTTGAAGTCCCAGTAGTTTAAAGGACATTATATGCCCTCCCAAAGATCCCTTCCATGCCAACAAATTCTATCATCCTTTCAATTAAGTCTGAATTAAACACAGTTAAATGTTGTTTGAAATCAATCATGGAAGGATCAAAGTAACACATCTGCTGTATTTAGCTTTGTGCATGGTAACTGGATAGAAAAATGTCAGACTACACTACACTTTAAATAATGCTTCTGGGTAAGAAGAGTATGGTGTACAAAGGGCCTAAATTGAAGTTTTTTTCCCAGTAGTTTCTTCGTGCTGCACAGAAATTCTGCACGTTTGTGTGAATGCAAATCCCGCTGATTTCATGAAGATGGATAGGTTAACCATGTTAGGAAATTTTCAGTGTATCTTCTTCTTTTCAACAAGACTTACAATATATCGCTGCATGCAATTACACACACAAACACACACAGAGAGATAGTGTGCAAGCAAGTGACAAGCTTACTCCGTAAATTTCTTTGCATGCTTATATACGCTTGAGCAAATGGTAGTAGATTACTACTTTAGAACCATCTGCTGCTTTCATTTATATTTAGCAGAAATAATGACCACCCTGCCTGGAGTTTAGACAAGCCACAACCTTAGAATATGTTTTCAGATGCAGGCCATAGATTAGGATGTATGTGTACATGTATGATGCACGTATGCACACAGTTTGACTTCCTCATGCTTCTTACTGAATACAAACTTTGTGTAGAAGTCATGGCAATAATTTTATAATATCACTGCAGCACAACAGATTAACCATATCAGGTTTTCTATCTCACATGAATAATTCTTCAGTGCTCGTCACTACTATTTCAATTTGTACTTTGGAATAGTACAGAACCTCTTCATACTACTAGAAAGCGACTTTTTTTTCTCTTCACCTTAAAATCTCTCAGGGGGGAAGGTTTTACTTCTATAAAATAAAAAAGAGGAGGAGAAAAAAGTATTTTTTACCCTCCCCTAGTACATCAAATTCTTTTCATACCACATGTTTCCTCAGAGAACCACACAGTGTTACTGTCTTAGAAAGCCAAGGAGAAGATGACTGAGGGAATTCAGTCACTCTGTTTAATTAATACAGGATTATTTCACTTTCATTTTGTGAAGCTAATAATATGACTGGTGGAATGTCAGTAAAAATTAAATTGTAAACTAGGGGAGCACCAAGGGAAACCTTACTTTAGTTATGGAGTATTCCCAGCAGAAATCTTGAAAAATCTTATCCATATTTACACTGGTAAAATACCACATGCTATTCCATGGGATAGTGAAAGATTTCAAGAATGTGTATGACATGTATCACAGAGCAAGAGTTAACATTTTCAGATTGTACATTCATAAGTGGGTTGAAGGTATGTTGTTTCCTGAATGTTAAAGCACCCTATGCTAAATAGAAAAGTACATTCAAGGTCAGCATTGCATTTTGGACAATCTCAGTCACTATGATATTATGATAATCATACTTAAAATATTCGTATAGAAAGAGCAAATCAGGCTTTTCAAACTAGAATATTATTATGATAAACATCAACTCTGGATGGTACAAATTCTTATTGCTTTATTTTCCTCGCAATGAATTGCTCCTCCTCATTGGGGCTATAACACATCTTCCAGAAACAGTCACCACATTATTTTGATTTAGAATTACCATATATTCTTGAAACACAGTGCTCAAATGCAAAGCAATTGTTCAATACTTGTCTTTTACCTAAACTAAACTGTTTAAATCTGCACTGAATTAGGAAAATATATGTTAAAACACAAGTGAGCATCAACAGCTATCCTGAAACAACAGTAGGATTTCAAGTCTGACCAAGTGTGGGACAAGATCAGATGGTTCTCTTAAAGCCCTCTAATTTGAGGCTCAAGGCACTAAAAAGAGAAAAAACGATGGAGTTCAAATGTATCCCCAGTGAAAATGCCAATCATCTTTACCATGAACTAACACGAATTGCATGTTAGCTGCCCTAGGATATCACAGCCTGAAGCAAAAGCACGCACGCGCGCACACACATACAGGTGCACGTGTATGCGCACATGCACACACGCACACAAACTATTTCCAAAGCACAGTAATGTGGATTGATATATGTACATTTGCAGCAGCCTATGAAAGCTCACTTCTAGCTGACACACCTGCCATGCAAACCTCCTCATTTGCAGCCTGCCAGGGTTTTCCCCCCCTGAATACCTTTGCCCATCTTTCTTTTCTTTCTTTCTCTATTCAGTTTTCTCTGGCATTTTTATTATTAATGTTATTGCAATTATTACTGTCCAAGCATAAGCTGATCCACAGGGGGGCTTGTGTAATTTAACCCCTGAAGCACTAAATTTCTTCACATGTGCCAAAGACACAGGTTTGTTGTTGCCTCTAGCAATATCCCAGAAAGACGAGTGATGGCGGTGTCATATCATCACATAGTGACTTAATCTATTGCGACACCCAGGGAATGGGCAACTGAAAAGATTTACAGAACATGTATTTAAACTGCATACAAACACATTATTCGCATTTCCCAGTAAGCCTAGTGACCAGGATCAAACTGGAACACATTCAACCACTTTCTTCTCTCAGTTCCAAGTATTAAGCTCTGTGTCATCTAATGATCCTCTTTCATGAGTTGAAATCCAAATGTAGAATATAATTCTTAATAACAACATTTTGTAACATCTTAATTTTTCTTTGTTCTTTTCATGTCTCCTGATTAACAAGCAGTCAGAGTGTGTTGAATTGCTGAATGCAGCATGATTGTCCATGCACTAAAGAAAGGAGCCTTACTACAGAATCCTTTTCAGATGGTTTGACATCAGAGGCACGTTTCAAAAACAACTCTTTAATAAAGTAGTACTGCTTATAGAGGGGAAGCATATGATAGTCGCATTTCAAATTTCAGCTGCAATAAATATTGCCATCCACCCACCCCCGTACCTCTTACTGAGATACATTCATTTTCCCTTCCAGGTTGACTTGTTAACATGAGGAGCTTCCATTTTTCTTTAGTTAAATTTCAGTTTTTATTAATTGACAACACATTCTGATAAATGCAGGGCTAAGCATTATTTTATCAGTGTTCAGATGAAGTTTCAAGGCAAGGCTTTTGGCCAACTATAATTTATATGGAATACAAATGACCCAGTGTAATGGCTAGATTGACCAGCACTTTTGTTTGTATGTTTATTATTTGATTTCTATACTGCCCATTAAATGAGATGGTTCTTTGATTGCACTGATGGTGAATGTGAATCTCATGACCACATGTACTCTTCATTAGTAGTGCATAGTTTTATGTGCATGAAAGGATCTTAAATACATTTTATGTGCAATTGTGGTCATGAAAGGCTCATAAATACTTTTAATTCCCCTGATCTTCACGATATTTCCACTGTCAGAGGTGTGCGTGAGGGTAGGAATTACAATGGAAATCAGGTGTAATTGATCTGCATAAATGTTGCACAGATTATACTATAGTCTTAGAATTATAATAGAAACAAGTGGTCTGTACCCCCTGGGTTGCCATATGTTGAACGTTGTGGGTTTTTTTATTTTAAAAATTAAATGCCAGCTTTAAACAATGTTTAAAAACTGCTTACATAAACTTATCAATGTCTGAACTGGCCATATGATTACCTTAAAATCCTTTATTACATACAATTAATCTGCAGTTAGGTAGCTGCTCTAATTAGTGGTACAAGATCATTAAAGAGTCCTGCTGGATTTGTCCAGGGATCCATTTAGTCCACTATCTTATCTCCAACAGTGACCAGCCAGGTGCCTCATATATGTTTGCAAGCAGTGCATAAAGCTTAAACTCGTCTTAAATATCTTTCAAATATTTTTGGGTATGTTGTCTCTTAAGGTTCCATGTTGTTGCTGTGGCTAATAGTAATAGAAATAGAATTAATGGTAATAGAATTTTTCTAATTCTTTAATGAGAAGATAAGAGAAGTCCTACTGTATTTGTATTACAACACAAAAGCAAAAATAGAGGAAAAAAGATCTAAAGGAAAAGCTTCCAACCCTGTGGTTTGTACTGTATTTACTGTTTTGGTTTAAGCCACCCATACAGATTATGTCAGACCTTGTCTGTCTCTTGATCAACTGAACATGAGTTGGCAGAACAGCATATTTTGAATCAGGGTCACTTAATCCTCAAAAATCCTGAACATAGAAATTTAAGTTATTTTAGGATTTTACTTTTCAAAACAAAATTATGACCACAGAGATTTCAAGTATAAGACATTATTTGGGAAATTCATAGAACAATATCAAAAAACCTACTTTCACTTCCTTACAGTCTTTCAATCATGTCACTTTTTTTTTTAAAAGAATACAGTTTATTTTAGATCAGGATTTTGAGATTTTGAACAAAAATGGTATTTATAATGCTATTTTTCATAAAATATTCATGCTTATTTGTGGATAATCTCATATATATGGTTATGTTTTGAAAGATGATTGAATGAGAAAGTATAACCCTAATGTGATCTTTCTGTGGCTAGGCCTTTCCATTATTGCTCATTTCTATTGATCAGCCAGTTACCATGTTCAATTATTCAATGCCAATCAACAATCAATGATACATAAATAAAACTTCTTGCCATAAGTAATTCATATTTTCTATCATTTTAATTATGCAAAATAGATTTCTAAAAGTTAGTATTCTCCCTCACCTCCCATACCAATAGAAATAGCTTTATGTGACTTATGAGAAGATATACTAATGTTACTAGATTCCTTTATTATGAATACAAGTAAACATGACTTTAAAATTGACTCAGTAAACAAAGGCTAAAATAAAAAACATGCTGCTTTTGGAAAACTCCAGAGTAGTGTAAAACCCTGATCCAGAATTTGCTTTCAATGGATGCATAGACCAATCTTCTGATCCAGAGGAAGAGCCCTCTTCACATAATTCATAGAAGGCAATTTTCTTAAGACCCTTTTTTATCTGCAGCCTACTATGTCCCTGGGAAAACTTTGCTGGAAGGTTGGGGGTGTCTCTGGAACGGAGGAGAAGGTGGTGCTAGGAGCTGGGAGAGAGATAAAGGTTGCCTCCTAGGTCAAGGTTGCCTCAATAAAGATTGCCTACTACTTATCTCTGCAAATGAGATACTACCACTGATGGATTAACACTCTAGAAGCAGTCATGACTTCCAACAGGCATTCTTAAGCAACAACTAATACTAAAATGTTAACCCTATGTTATATAGCTGATTGCCTTAATCAAAACTGGGTCCTCTTAAATTTTTGTTATCATATACCTTTGGGCTTGAGTTCCCTCCACAATACATTTTAGAACTATTAAATGGAAGCCCTTGGTTATTTGGGATAGTGCTTAAAGACAAGCTGATACTTTTCTGGTATGCATACAAAGCTCAAGACTTAATAAGCACATAAGTGTTTATGCATAAGTAGAAATAACAGAATCTTTGACTTGAAACGTTTAAAATACCTACATGGTAATTCTATCCAACTGAAATAGTGATACACGACATACAAAGAACTTGCAGAGCCATGTTATTTGTTCTTAGCACAAGAAAATCTTCCTGATTTTGGTGCAAATTAAATATTATCACTCAGGCCTTTCACAGATAATTTTCATTGGCTTTGTTTTTTTTCAAAGAAAACCTTCGAAAACAGTTAAGGGAATTTTTCTGGGTTTGTTTTGCATAGTGCAGTGACAGAATGTTGTTTGATGCCACATGTCCAAGATGGAAGCACATAGCATACGGTGCAAAGAATTTAAAAAAAAAAACAAAAAACCTGTTGTGACATACCTCAATTTTCCAAACATGTCAGTCAAAGACAGAAGCACTGTGTTTTCTGTGATTTTAAATAATACTTTCATGTGAAATGTTGGAATCTCTTCATTTCACACTGACACTAAGGAGTGACTCAGCACCTCAAATAAAAAAAAATCCTGATTCACTGGCAGTCAAAGGTAGAAGCTGCATTGATAGAAAAGTCTGAAGTCCAGGGCAGTTCCTCATTTACAGAGAGTAGCCCTATAAAAGAAAGTAACACTCACCCATAGAGTGCATTTTACGTCTTGATCCTTAAAAATCTGTATCAGCATACTCAATGCATAACTTTTAACATTAAACCAATGTCTGCCTGGGATGTGCGCTGTTTGGCCTTTACTCTTAATCTCGAAAATATAAATAGTTTGTTTCAACTGGAAAAAGGTAAGGCACTGAATAACTGCCTTTGAAAGCATTAGCTACATGAATACTTTGCATATATTTCTGGACTAAGAGTAGCCTTGAAAACTAGTTTAGGAGCTTACACACACACACACACACACACACACACACACACACAGCAGATGGATCTGGGCATTATTATCAAATTACTTGATCCTTACCAGTTGCATCCCAGCTTATCCTGAGCTTAATACAAAATGCTGCTTTTCACCTTTGCAACCCATTTACCACTTGTAGCTGGAGTACCTGATGGGCTGCTCATACGTTTTACAAACAAGACCTAACATTTAAGGTACAGCAGCTTGACATATGAGAAAGGCCCTTCTCCTGAAAGGCCCTTCTCTTAGCCTATAAGTCCTATTATCTCAAACTGTTGACCATGGTGGCTGGAACCATTCCGTGTTGGAATCCCTAAGCCAAAACAAAGTGTTTCGGATCAGAAGGATTTGTATTGGTATTCTGTTTCACAGAAGACCTAAGGAGTCCCATCACAAAGAAATCCCAAAGAATCCATTCAATTCCATTTCAAGCTCTGCTTTGGTTCCTGATTCAGTACACTAGTAACAGTGGTCCAGGTAGGAAACTCGGTTTTGACCTTGAAGCACATGCCTGGCTACCAGAAGATACTTTTGTTTTGGGTCTACCCAGGAGGAGAGAAAGTTCCAGCCCCTCCAGGATGAGAGGTTGTTGACAGCATGTATATAAGCATTCAATATTCTCCTAGACATTTGCTGGCTTCACAGTTTCCTTGGAGTCTTTCTTCTAGCTCTTTACTCATAGACCAGGTTCTCTCTGCTCTGTTCTCTCTGCCTCAGTGGTGACTGCACAATACTCTCTCCAGGCAGGCTCACATGCTAGCATTCTGGAGCCAAAAAATGCCATTTTTTCCCCAAGATTTTTAATCTTGTGTAATTTTTATACATGTTTTGTGCTGGACATACATTCTATGGCCCAAGCAATCATATTCCAGCTCAAACTTCAGGATTTGCTTAACAGATGTACTGACAGTAATACAGAAGCTATGCAGACAGTACTAAACACAATGTGAAGCATCTTTCCATTTGATTGGTTAGGGCCTTGGACTGGGATTTGGGAGATATGGGTAACTTAGGGGTTCTAGTCGTGCCCCCACCCCCAGTCAAGAAGGTAACTGGGTAACTTGGGGACAATCACTGACTCTCAAGCTAACCTGCTCAAAGGGCTGTTATGACGATAAACAGGTGAAAAGGATTGTGTATACTGCCTTCAGCTGTTTGGAAGAACAAATAACTGACTAACAAGTAAATAAATAACAATGAGACTATTTATTCTTTTTAAAGTTTCCTTGTCAATTTCTTTTTGAGACCTTTTATAGAAAATGTTGAAGTCTTTCCTAAGTAATAAATTAGTCATGATTTTACAGTATAATTTTAAAGTAAATTCTTAGTTTGAATGCAGTATTCCCTTCTATATTGTATCTTGAAAGAAGTAATTGAATCAAGAGTTTCTAGAGGGAGTTAAGTACTTAAAGCAAATTAAGATTTTTTTATTATTCTTTTTTTTTTTGCCTTTAGCTACTGAAAAGGTTGAGATTCAAGATGAAAAGGCTGCCTTGCCTTTCTCTTGGCTTACACAGCACAGTTCCTTTATTTTCCCTGTAGACATACTTGCAAATCTTGGAAGTGCAGAGGTCTGGCTTCTGACCTCAGTTAGGTTAGTCTGTCCCAGCTGAAGAACTCCTCCTTAGATCACTGTCTTGCTATTATTCTGTGGTTAATAGACCTGACCTGGACAGTAACACACACACACACACACACACACACACACACACAGAGAGAGAGAGAGAGAGAGAGAGAGAGAGAGAGAGAGAGAGAGAGATCTGGCTACAATTCTGTCTTTATGTCTGCTGCTTAAAGAATGAAAGGCAAACAATGAAAGGGCCAAATCAGTGTTAAAAAAACCTGTTTTAAAAATACAATGGAGAACTGATGCTCCCAATTTGGTCAGGACAATTCATGTAGCAATTGATAGGGAGACAGAACTGATGCCACATAAAAATCAAGGCATCTTGTAAGAGAGAGATGTTTTTCCTTCAGAGAACCTTTATTTAACCTGTAGCTAATTTTAAAAATCCTGGCATGTGTGGGAATTTTCTTACAAGCAGAATGCCTGTTAGAGAAAGTAGCAGCACAAGTCTTCCCCCTACTCCTGCCTAGCCCCCTTATGTCACATTTGCATTTCTATTCAGCTGAACTGCCTGACAATGAAGCAAATGGGTTTGTCTTATCTGTACAATTCTGGACAACAGAGATTTCTAAGCCTTACAAAAGAACAGCCTTACCATTCAGCAGTGCAACACTTTCCACTGAAGCCCCCAAGATCTTGTGGGGAATGCTGTCACATAAACACCTGTCTCTACCGAAAAAGAAAAAGAAAACCCAAACCCACAGCCCTTGGAACAGTCACATGCCACTGGGGTGAAAAAAAAAAATATTCAGCACTGTTTTCCCTGAGGAAAGAAAATTAAAAAGAAAACCACCATTGTTGTTTTAAAGTACTAAACTCAAACATATATATGAAAACTTCAACCCAGTTTCTAGTAAATTGATTTCCACCCCCAGCCTTCTGTTGGCTCTGTTAGAGTAGGGCCCTTTTACATGCAATTCACATATAGAAAATAGCTAAACCTGCAATAGTTTTGCTGTATTTGCTATACTTTTTTTAAAAAATCAAATAACACTTAGAAGTCAGTTCTGATGACTGTGTCATTTCACTGCTGTGTGAGAAAATTTCAGACTAATTCCTTTAAAATTAATATCTTCCACTGGTAAGTTAAAACTGATACCTGTCAGGCATTGGATGAAATCTCCAGCTCAACTTTGTGTTATGAGACTTATACTAGCTAAAACACAGACTAGGAGTTCTATTCAGCCTGCTATCCAAATGTTTCAGCCTTGTGCTAGCTTTATATATATTATCATCCTGGGTTCTCTGAGTCGAATGCAACAGAATCAGTTTTCTGAAATCAAAGAATGTCTATGGGGAGAACTGTAACCATAAGCAAATCTGACAAATGTGATCTGATGACAAGAATAGCCTCTTTACCATGTCATTACCATAAACCTGGTTTCTGTTTCCCAGTGGCATTATAGTAGCGTTGACTAGTTATGCTGTTTGTGTCATACCACCCAAGTAACCCTAATAAATCAGATCAGAGGTGATAATTAGAGATTAACTAAGTCTGTCAGAAGCCTCCTAAAGGTAATCATGGACTGTCTCCTGTTACTCTTTCAGAAGCCATCAGCACCAATTCAGAAATTCCCCTTGTACAGAAATAAATCTATGGAGGGGGGAGTAGGAACATCCTGCCCCATTTCCCCCTCTGGTCATGTCTGTAACATGTACACTTTGTTTCCAGAGATCTGAAAAGAGGTGCCTATGTTTCTGATAGGACAAAGGTTTTATAATATTTGAACTAGCAGTGGAATTGATACAGATAAACCCTACATTCTGATATTTCCTCTGATATTCTGGTAACACTACATTCAGGGGCAAGCTGGACATCTCAGAAACATGATGATGTTGGAGATGATGATACCCTTCATTTTCCTCTTGCAAGGAACTCAAGCTGCCTTTCAAGGTTCTCCTTTTACCCTCACAACAACTCTGAGTGCATCCACTAGGCTGAGAGAATCCATGACTATTCCTAACTAGTCCAATAAGTTTCATGGCTGAGTGGAAACTAGAACCTAGGTTTCCCAAATACCAGTTGAACATTCTGATCATAATTGTGCATAAAATGACTGCTTGCACTGGTCTATTAATACAACTGCAGGAGAGTACTCCAGAATGGTGCTGGGAGTACTCTACCCTGTACTCTATTTACATGGGGCAGAGGCAATATCCAGGGAACCCAGCTAGGGTTACCTGTGAACTTAGCTGTAATTTAGAACATTCCCATAAACCCAATGCACAGTGATCACTTGGCAAGCAAATGGATGAAGAACAAGTTCCTTGAAAATTTAAAGTTAGAGAAACACTCTTAGAGCATCTCAAGGGTCCACATAGCTCTACGTCCTTTCTTCTCTTTAAAAACAACAGTGAATATAGCAAACAGACCTCTTTGTTGCAGTTGGAGAAGCTTAAATTATTACATTCTTGACCAAGATCATGCTTAGTCCTGGTCTAAAATTCCTTATCTGCAGTTTCATACAGGTTGAAAACACTGAGTTGAAGTCCCAGACATTTTCCTATCTAAGGATGGACAGAGATTTAAGCATGATCAACTGCATTGATAGGTGGACTTCTCCTCTTCACCCTTCCTACAGCAAATCTTTCAGCCCTGGTAAAAAAAAATTACCCAGAGTCAGACAATTCTGTTGAATGGCTGAACTGCGGTATGGAGAAAGTGCCTATCTCCAAAACTCCAAAGCAACACTTCCAGAAGCTTCCTCCAAGGTCTTTTCTGTCACGGAAGGCAAATCCTGAACCAAAGGGGTTTGTTTGTTCTGACAAAAAGAAACTAAAAACAAACAAATACGAGTAATTTGAATTATGGTAACATGAAGGACATCATACACAAATGCATCTTGGTAAGAAGGCTAGTTGAAAATGACATCCTTTTCTTTAGCAATATGTGTGATGTACCATGTTTTCCAGTCTTTGGTTATGAGCATCCTCCATCTGTTGTTCTTGCTGGCTTATTGCTACTATAGCCTCTGTACTTCACAGTTTTAAAGATGTCATTCTAGTTTGTTTGCTTTAAGACCGATTTGTTTTGCTCTCCTTCTGTGATAAAGAATTAATCCTTTTGTGTTTCTCTCTCCAGCCTTCAACTTCTGTTCAAGTGTTTATATTTCTGTTCCATTTATCACAGTTGGCAGTATATGCAATACAGGTGTCAAGTCAGGCAGGCAAAGGTTTTCTCATAACCTCTCCAGAATTTCACATATCTGCAGAAATTCTGGCATTAGGGAACAAATAACCACTGCATGGAACTGGCTGAAAGGCATTATTTAGAAACAGAAATTTAAAAAATGACCTTCCCTACCTTTCCCTTTACCTCTAATTTTAAGGGATATGATTACTGATGTTTTATTTGCAAAATCAATAGTACATCAATCATCTTTTAATCAGTTCAAGAACAGTGCACAGCACTGGCCTGATTCAGACATAACATTAAGCCAAGTTAAAAGTACAAGGCTCTGTGCACCCAAGTAGATTTTTGAGTTTGTGTGCTTCCTTCCCATCTTCCTGCATGCCTGGAAGGATGACTTAAACAAGATATAGTTTTGCTTTCTCTGATTCCAGGCATATCCTTACATATGATCAGGAATTGGAGTTTAAAATAGGGGTGTTTGAAAAATTCCATTTTGGGAGTGAAGCAGTTTGACCCTGGCAGATTTTGTGGCATTCTGTCTGATGGCATGGCTTCAATATGTAACAAGTCAGATTGAGTTTTTAATGGGCATGGCAATTTGTGCAAATGGAATTATGTTTCATTTTTCTAATATTTTGGGGGGTTTTACATTTGCACAAATGCATTCTTTATAATCCGTGGTCTTTTGCAAGTCTAAATTTAGCTATGAATTCCTGTTGTAAATATCCTTGTCAGTGTCGTACTACCATGCTCTACCTGGTTTAGGGCAACAGAGCCATGTTCCATATTTGTCAATGAACTTCTCAGTTGCAGTCTCCATTCTGGAACTTTCCCCTTCCCGTTTCCTCTCACAGATGTGCTTTTTTAACTCCTGTGAGGGGATTGGGTAGTGATTTCAGGAAAAAGCAGCTAGAGAAATGGTTAAGCTTCCCTCTATGCATAGAATGGTCCAAATCAAAGCAAGGAATCACACACTTAATTTAGAGGGAAGAATAACAGAAAAGTGTTGTACACTATGCTATTAATATAACTTACAGCTTGTTCCTGACTCCTAGCCTTAAATATATGAACAGGAGTGTGTATGTAAATCAATGTATTTTTTGTATTGTTATATTTAATGGTAATTTATTATGTACTATTGTATTTCAATGTATTTTATCATGTTGTAAGCCGCCCCGAGGTTTCGGCAAGGGGCGGCATAGAAATGTTATAATAATAATAATAATAATAATAATAATAATAATAATAATAATGTATTTCAGCAACTATATCCATTCATTCATTCTTTCCTTCACACATACAAAATAAACTAATGTAAGATTAATACATCTACCCCTTGTAACTATTTATTTTAACAGTAAGTAGTATAACAATCTATTTAATAACTTTTCAGTGTAACACATAAGTATAAAAATATACAGGCTTTGATTTTTCAGATTCAGTAGAGCTCTGCAAACTGAACTCATAAAAACTTTAAAACAGTATACATATTTCCCTTTCCTTTCCTTCCTTCTTCTAGAAATGCCCATAAATTCCATTCCCTTTAATACAACCAATTGGCCACAATTGTGCGCTGCATTTTCAGACATCCAACAATCAGTTGCAGAATCTGGGGGTTGTTTCCAAACCTATTTAACTATTATACTTATTAAATGAAATTGCTTATTAATTCTGAATACTTCACTATTGAACTCTTAGCACTGAAGCACAAAATTCCATTTTAAATCCTTCTTGAATTATTGGTTAATGTAAAAGTAGAACCTGCTACTAGGGTCTTAACACTGAGGACTGAAAATTAAGGAAGAATCAATCACCCAGTTCCTGCCTTTAGCTATATTGTTATATTCAGGGTTGTTGCCATGTTTGTCTAGAGCATAAGAAGCAAGCACATGACAATTTATATTAGACAAATGTTTGCTGGTGAGAGTGTAGAAGCTTTTGACCTTCATAAAGCCCAATCCACAATCCTGTTAAGATGAAAATCTTGGATTTAAGCCCGTTCAATTCCATTCAATGAGACTAATTAAACCCAAATGGAAGTATTTTTCATTAAGAGGATCAAATACCAAAATAAAGAATAGTATGTTTCATGGACGAGCTCTATATTGTTTCGAAACTTACACAAACATATACACATAAATAAGTAAATAGTATAAGACTTAGCCAAAAGTATATGCTCTTATCCAAAATTGGTGAAAAATAAATCTCACTGTTCCTAAATACCAGATCATGATTAACAGCAGTTGTTCATGCAAGGCCTATTCTCTGAAAGTCTTTTACTAAAAAAATTACTAGGATGTGTACTTTATATGCAGACCTAGGGCAACTCCAGAAAGTAGCCAAAATGTGAAGCTTCCTTCTGAGAGTTCTACTGACCTATTCCTTTCTCGAAACAAGCATTCTGGCTCATTTCAAGTTGCTTTAGAATATGGTAGCCTCCCATGGTGCAAAAGCCGTGGATACTGCCCAAAGAAACTAACTCCAGTTATTGTTTCTATAGTAACCTACTTTCTGCCAATTTCCTTTCAGAAAATCTTGAATTAATTATGCAGACTGTCTATATACTTGCCACACATCATACCAAGATATATGAGGAAGAATTAAGAAAATGTCTTTGCATTCTGAATTCAAATGACAGGAGTCATTCATAGTGAACTTTGACCGGGGGGAGGGGGATTCCACTCAAAGGCCATTCAGAACCCTCCCAATTTGTTCAGATATCAGATAACACAAAGAGTATGTTATACTGAGAAAAGGTGCAATAACTCAATAGTGTTACAGAGAGATTATATTTTACTGTCTTAATTTGGGGAAAATTGTATGATTTTTAGGTGATGCCTACTCTGAGTCTTCCTGACTTGGCGAACATCTTGGCAACATAAAGAAATATGTTGATAGTCCAATTAAGGAAGGTAATGGGCTTCTGAGATAAAGTTCCTTATTGCTTTTATCTCTGCAGAAGATGTGTCCCTAGTATTTTGGAACAGAATAGTGAAAAGAACAGACAGATTTTGAAGAGAGGAATGTCACATAAGAAACCAAAGTAGGAGCGACAGAACAAATTATGGTAAATTGTGAAACAAGTACATTATGTGATACTTGTGAAGGGATGCAGTGAAGCATCCTGTAAATGAGCACAAGACAAAGGCTTGCCTTATTGCCTGTACCTGTATTTTAATTTCTCATAATTTCAGTCAGATAACCATTTCTTTTTCATCATCCAGCAACTTTTGCAATAAATGAAGTGTAGGTTCTGGATTTCCTAGTCAAAAAAAGACTTTGATGTCACAATGCTTTGAAGATGCCTCTTGTTGCTAGAAAAAGGGTAGCAGGATGCCATTGTGCCTTAAAGCCATTCATTCCACAGGGATTCTACAGGTTGCTCTTTGCAAAAGCTGCCAGACAATTGAAATTCACCCTTAACTAACTATAGCCAGCATGGGAAGGAAAATAGTCATGAATAGTTATTTCTTAGCAGATATGCTTGCTCGACAGGTTTTGCTTAATTAATACCATCAAGTTATCACATTTTTCTTCCTTTCACAAACATCCCATTTTGTCTCTCTTTCTCTCTTTGGTGGTGGATGATAGTTTTACAACTGAATGCCATCATGTGCAATGGGGCAAATCCTACCCTTATTGACCAATGCTACATATTTGTTTGTGTTGTCTTTCTGGTTCAACAAGTCTGCACTGATGGCACCTGTTAAAGCTGCTTCAACTAAGCTGGTCTGCATTTGTCTAGCTGGATTTGGGTTTTTTGGATCCCTGACTGAATACAAAGTGATCATTAAAGAAAAAAGAAAAAAATCAGTGTTTGGCAACAAGCACAGTGGGGAATATGCTGTCTGTTGGTATACAAATGCACGAATGTGTTTCTCATAACATCACTAAGGAAGCATGCTGCTTGAGTCTCAGTGCTGTTGAGATCAAAATGATCTCCTTTGTTGTCAGTTGTTTAACAGCAGCTGTTTAATGTAACTTCAAATGATCTGCTTGAATGAAGTTGTCATTCTTGCATTCAGTTTCAGTGTAGTTAAAAAGCAAAGCCGAGCCACAATATATTTTTCTATTGTTCTTCTGCAAAGTTACTGCTATTACATATTTCAGATATGCCAGCAAATAAGGAAAGCCAAATAGAAATGTAAGGAAAGATTAATTCTGTTCTTAATTCATTTTTCTGTAAGTATACTGTGATTGTAAATAAGATGCTCCTCCAAGAATGAGCATTGCAGAAATTGCAGATGAACATTATTCATCAGCATATCTTCCACAACTGCAACTACTGCATTTCTTTGAAATTACACAGAAAAAGCAAGTGCATTCTTCCCGGTACTTACTAAGTAGGATAATTGGGTAAGCATTTTTGTTTGGGTAATAGGCCTGATAGTACACAGTAATGCATAATCCTTAAAAAATATTTGCAGTCCTCTAATGAACAATAGAGGGCACTAATGCTTCTAATCTGGCAAAAACATCACACATCAGAGGGATAAAAGTAGATAGGAAGCACACAGCACACAAGCCCCATCATCTATGCTACAGATGTATACAATACATATTTTCATTACAGGTCTGAGTTTCATTGATAGTTTTCACTTTTCCCTAAATGCTGTGCTTTGCTTGTAGAAACCAGGTGATTATAATAAATGCAGCATTCCAAAGACTTGGAAAGTGTTTACATTAATCTTCCTTCATAGAAAGCACTCTTAATATATTTTGCAATACTAATCTTAGCCAGATATCTGCAGCTTCATGCTCCAATTTTTAAATGGCTATCTTGACTTAATAAAGGAGATAATATGTGATTTATTTAATTTAATAGTAACTTGCAAAATCTATTCAAGCAGGTGCTACAAGCAAATAATGGTAGGAAAGTGCAGGAAAATAATGGCCAGTCCCAAATAGTAAGCATACACAGAGGGGACAGGGGGAAGAGAGATTTAAACACTGTACACATACAGAAGGAGACCACTTGACATAACAATAAATTAAAAATAAGAGAGCAAGTAACAGAAAAGCAGCTTGCTTTTAAAATTGGTTAGGATTTTTGTCAACAAACGAGTTCCAATATATTAAACCAACATACACCCTTTTCCCTTTCATTTTCTGCTCTGTGATTAATGGGCAGTGGGATGTATCTCTATATGAAGTATTTAAATACAAAAGATCAGGATATATATTGCCTGAACAAAATGTATTTCCTGATCAGCAAGTAGTCATATTCCCTTTGTTTTATAAAGCACCTACAGGTTCATATTATAGATGTAAAGCAACATTAAGTTTTCACAGTTACTAAATACCTCTGCTTCTGAATAGCAGCTCAGACACCTTGGGCACAATTTTTGACATCAACATGATCCATTAATTTTTTTGGCCCTGCTTCTGTCTGTAGAATCATTTGTTTAAATCAATTTGCAACCCCAAAACTTGTACATGACCTTTTTCATGGTCCTGATCCAAAGCCTATGGAAATCAGTGTGTGCCACATCATTAAATTCAATGGTTCCAAAACAAGACATCTGTGTTTTGCTTTGTTTATGGAAGCATGCAATATGTTGGCTTCTAAATGTTTCACAGTGTCTGTAAAGTTTTCAGAGAACACATGTTATTAAAAGGTTGTATTTACAAATCCCTAAAAAATATGTTGAGGAAGGAACAATAAGCATATGTTTCGCCCATATATTGGTATTAGTCAGGGAAGAAACAGCAAGGGGATCTCTGGCTGAAAGATTGCCAGTAAATTCTAAGCATATAAATACAAATATATAAGGCAAAATGATGAAACTGAACATTGGGCATCTCATGAAAGGTCAAGACTCAGTGAAGAAGACGATAATTCTAGGGAAAGTTGATGGCAGAAGAAAAAGAGCAACACCAACTATGAGATGGATTGATTCCATAAAGGAAGCCACTGCCTTGTGTTTGGAAGAGCTGAGCAGGGTTGTTAAGGGCATGACACTTTAGAATATGTTTTAAAAATACTAATCAGAAGTATTTGTGGCCTGATCAAGCAAATACTGCAAACAGAATGTTAACACTGAGCTCAGAATGGACCAGATTGGACACTGTTTATGACTGTGTTGAGAGCTTCAAAAGATAAGCAAGTCTAAAGTCAACAACAGAAAGCTAAAGAAGCGAAATTAGTCTGAACTTTGCCAAAATTATGTAGCCACATGTTCAAAAAGTACCAATAAATTAATCTTGATAAGTTCATTCAGTGAATATGCGAAATTGTTACTGAGTGGTACTTGAGCTGTTGTTGCAGGAACAAAATGATCAACAAGAAATATTGTAGGGGATTAATGAACTATTAATGTGGCAGTAAGTGAAAATCTAAAAGGTATTTACAAAGTTCACTGCTTGTCAAAGTATCATGCTTTGGAAGCCATTTAAACAAACACCTACTCAGAAACTTAGGTGATCTTCCACTGGCTTAAGTTTGAATTGGATGATATTCCCAGGAACTGATTTATAAGAAATGGCCACAAAATCTGGTCTTTTCTTTTCAAAGCATGAAATGAAAGATAGCACACATTGGAAAGAAGAAGCCATCCCAACTAAGGTATCCATATTGTATGAAATTCTAACCCAAAGCAATTGCTGTAGTGGTCATACAAATTGAGAAGATGCTTCTGAGTAACATACATTCCTGTCATTGTTCATGTGGCAACACATAGACCACCTTTTCAAACTTTAACATCAATGTAAGGATATGCTCTTGAATCTTTCAGGTATGAAAGCACTGTTTTCTCCACTTTCCCTTTGCTTCTCACCTACAATTTCCCTTTTAATTTTTTCGTGTTTTCTTGGTTTACATATTTCCTCTCTCATACCTGCCTTTCTTATTATTATTATTAGTTGGATTAAGTGGAGAATAGGGTTGAGTGGGTTACACAACCATGTGGGGTAGGGTATTTGATTCCTTAAATTATTTAAACTAAAACTGATAAAACATTAACTTGATCACTATATTGTCTACAAAGCAATGTAAAAGAAAAAATAGTCTGACAGGCGACGTATATTTCTTTAAAAGGGCACATTTATATGCCATATGCCTTCAGCCATACCTAGCTTTTTGACTTGTAAAACCCCAGCTAAAGTGTTATCTCAGAGCAAATGTACAGTTTCGTAAATAACATTCCCATTTTTAAAAAAATCAAGTAAATTTTAACAACCAAACATGTGTTCTTTGAGAATAAGGGTTCAGGAAATTTCTGAGCAGATGCCTACAACTGTTACTGGCTTTGAGTACCTATTCTGATAAACCACACAGATACATCAGTTCATATAGCTGCAGTAATTTCAGTTTTATGTTTTGAACAAAAGGAATCTTATGACAAGGTAGTCCATCTATTGTGGTACATCAAGATGTTAAAAGCTGGAAAGATTCTTATTCCAAAATCAGTATCAAATGTCAATAGTTCACTATCAAGAACTGAAGTGAGAAAACTGTAGAAAGCATGTTACACTCTTCAATTAAAGATATGCAAGAAGACAGGAAATAAGTATGCAAATTAAGTTAAGGAAAATAGTTTTCTAACTTAACATTGGGGAAAAAATAGCAGATCGACATCATGTTACCATGATGTACCTTAAAGCCTCAACACTAGAAGATTTGTATGATACCCAATCAATAAGAAAAGAAAGTAGAGAGTTAGAAGAGTTTTGTTTAACGGAAATATATTCAATAAAGAATTATTGAAGAAACTCACATGAAAAGTTAGATTTGAGGGCTATGACTTAGAAAAATAGGGGAGGACTGCTGCTTTCACAAGGTCCAAAGTGGTATAAGAGTATGAAGTATTGCCACAACAATAAAGAGAATCACATAAAAAACTGAGGTTTCTTCCACTTGTCCATGCAACATAAATTCTCTCCTCCTGGCCTTCCGCAGCTCAGCTATGTATGACTGCACCCCCTATTATTATTCTGTATGTCATTTGGCTGTCTTGCCATTGTTGCTTGGAGGCCCAATGCAGGTCAGAGATTATACTGGTTTTCAGTGTTACTCTTCCCTGAAGTCATAAGTACTGTAAAAAGTAATTTCATTACAAACTGCAGGATACATAAAATATAATTTCAAATATTTTGAAGGACACAGCGGATGACTCATCTGTACTACTTGACCCTATTCCTGTTTTTCTCCCAAGGCGTTGTCCACTACTTCTCCATGCTGATCAACTGTCTTCCTCCATCTCAATCACTGTCTGACACAATATTTTCTTTTCAACCTACAGATTAGAAGTACTGTACAAAAAGTGATACAGGAGCCAGAACTATATTGTTATTAGGATTCCAGCATTCTTAGAGAGCTGATATTAACAGGAATCTATCCTATTTTACCATCAAATCCTTCTCAAACTTCATTAGCTTTGTCACTAACAACTGATTTTTTAAAACACAAAGTCAGCAGGGTTTAAGTAAAGGAATAAGGGTGTGATGAAACAGGTTCCCAATGAAATGCAAGGCTAAACCAAACAGAATATTAGAAGTCTTCATACTTATTGCGAATATTTTCAAAAATGGTATCGCCACCTGGATGTTTGATAGGGAATGTAGCAGGTGGAAGGCTGAAGTTAATCCTTTTCTTCAAGAAGATACTTTGATGAAATCGTCATTAATTCACATCATACCTAGCTCCATGCTATTATGATCTATTATCATATTTATTCTATTACCTATAATAGAAGTTATCTATTTTAGCTTCTCTGATTCACCCTAACTCCTATGCTGAACCGCACCCCATGACCTCTTCTAAATTCCACACTTTCTTCCATTCCTCCTCCTCCTCTCATCTCCCTCTCCTTATTTTTCCCTTTGTTTACTTCTCCTCTGTCAAGTGGGCCATAATCACAACAATCTTTAAGAACCCACTCTAGATCTTTTTTCCTTTAATTACCATCTAGAACCTAGAAAATAAATGCATTTGCACTACATAAATGTAATAATCATCATTAGGCTTAAAATTAAAGCAAAAAGGGCTAAGAATAACAAGACATTACTGGAGTTGAAAAGAAGGAGAGATAATGTACCTTTTCAAAATATCAAGTAACTGAAAGCAAGAGCAGAGAGACCTAGCTAATTCAGAATCCCAGATACGAGGGGTGTTCAATGTATTCTCGGTATCGGGTTGATTCGCTATTGATGTGGGTAATTTAATTATTTCATTAGCTAATGACACTATCTGAGGGTATACATGCAAAATTTCAAATAAGTGTGATCATTAGTCCCCTAGTAATCCTCAGTGAAAGATGACCATGATGACTGACGCGACAATGTTGAAGAAAATTGAGCACTGCACTGTGATTAAGTTCCTTACAAAACAAGGAGAAAGTCAAAAAATCATTCACGAAGAGATGGTGGCTGTCTACCAGGACTCTGCACCTTCATTATCTACTATTCAGAAGTGGTCAAGTGAATTTAAAATGGGCAGAGAAAGCACTGAAGACGACCCTCGCTCGGGCGGGCCAGTTACTGCCACTACGAAAGAAAATGTGAAAAAAATTGAGCAACTTGTATTGGAAGATGCCCAAATAAAAATCAAAATGTTAGCAGAGATGACAAACCTATCCATTGGTACCATATTTACTATTTTTCATGACCATCTTAACCTTTCAAAGGTCTGTGCAAGATGGGTGCCGCGAATGCTCATGGCGCCTCAGAAACAAGTGCAAGTCGAGTGCTGTTGGGAGTTTTTAGAGCTCTGTGGTGAAGATCCATCGAGTATTTTTGACCAGATTGTTACTGGAGATGAAACCTGGGTTCATCACTATGTCCCTGAAAGTACGCAGGAGTCCATGCAGTGGCATAAAAAAGGTGCTGACCCTCCGAAGAAATTCAAAGTCACTCCATTGGCCGGAAAAATCATGGCCACAGTGTTTTGGGACTCAAAGGGAATGTTATTGATCGAGTACATGAAAAAAGTGAAACCATAAATGCAGCATTTTACGCAACCACTCTGCGTAATTTAAGAGAAGCAATTAAACAAAAAAGACAGGGAATACTGACCACAGGTGTGTTGCTTCTTCACGACAACGCACCCGTTCACACGGCGCATGTTTCGAAGGCTGCTGTGCGAGGCTGTGGTTTCAAAGAAATAAACCACCCACCCTATGGCCCAGACCTGGCCCCCAGTGACTACTACCTATTCCCAAATTTAAAAAAAGCTCTTTGTGGAAAGTGATTTTCCGATGATGAAGAGCTCAAGGTGGCAATTAACGCACATTTTTTAGACAAGGAGGAAGGGTATTTTTTACAGGGAATTGCAAAGTTAATTTCTAGATGTAATAAGTGTATTGAAGTTATGGGGGATTACATTGAAAAATAAAAAAAAATCAATTATTCCTTTTTCTTCATGCTGATACCGAGAATCCATTGAATGCCCCTCATAGTTCTCAAAGAAGACACAACTTACACCATCTGAATCTTTATATACTTCCTGGGCCTGAATACCTGTTCCATACTCTTGTCTCCTTGCCAGGGAATGGACAATCTTAAAAGGCGCAGCCCTCCATCATGGTAATCATATCTCCATCATTCATGAAACCCTGGAGGGTGAAAATGCTAGTCCCTTGTTGGGTTAGTTTGGTGGCTACTGTGGCTAGGAGTGCTGCTTTTGAAGGTTTCCAGATGTCATGCACATGTTCATTGTAATGGGCATGGTGTGTTTGACTCAGTGGTCCATCTCTGTCTGAATGAGTACCCAAGGAGGTTACTTGTGATTCAGACAGAGTCTGGCTCAGCAGAATGAAATAGTGATGAAATCTTGTTTTGAAATCATGCATATTCTTATGTGTTCTTTTGTGCAGTGTTGTCCGGGATACCATTCAGTTGTGTCAAGAGGCCACCATCCATACTCAAAGGCTTTTGATAAGGTGAGTTATCAGTGATTTCATGATCATATAACTAAGTAAAAAGTGTTTTGGCATACATGAAAAGGACTTGCTAGGCTGCATTGAATCAGTTTGTTTGTTTCATTGTTATACTACCCAGTAGCTGAGGCTGTCTGGACAGTTTTCAAAAATTAATATTAAACAAAGGTTTTTTCAAAAACCACACAAATTAATAAAAAAGAACAAAGCAATAATAGCAATTGCAATTACAATGATTCAGGGTAGAAACATAGCAGCAGTACAGAATAAAATGGAATATATGAAAACAAAGTTAAACTATTAAAATACTAAAAATATAAAGGTCTGGAAAAGAAAATAAGAGTAAAAAATAGGTACCAGACACACCTCTTTGGGGAGCTCATTTCAAAACCAATGTGCCACAACTGAAAAGGCCTTCCTTCTGGTAGCAGCAACCTCACTTCTTTTTGAAAGGGCTCACGGAGAAGAAACCCCAAAGATGATATCAAGGTCCAGGAAAGTACATATAGAAGATAAGCCTTCATATAGCCTGGCCACAAGCACTTTAGGACTTTAAATACTAGCACTCTGAATCAGGCCCAGACTTCAAGTGGCAGCCAGTGTAGCTGGAAAAGGACTGGCATGATGTATTCTTGTGAGGGTCGATCCTGCTGCCCTGTTTTGGATCAGCTGAATTTTCTGGACCATTTTCAAAGGTAGTCTCACATACACTGTATTGCAGTAATCTAAACGAGAGGTTACCAGAGCCTGGATAACTGTAGATTTCTCTGTCCAGATACGGTAGTAACTGGTATATCAGTTTAAGCAGATAAAAGTCACAGAGAAAGTCCTGTGCCTCAAGTGTCAACTCTGGATCCAGGAGCACACCCAAACTATGAAATGTGCCCTTTAGGCGGAGTGCAACCCCATCCAGAACAGGATGAGAGCCAGTGTGGTGTAGTGGTTAAGAGCATGGGATTGGGACTCAGACGATCTGGGTTCTAGTCCCTGCTCAGCCATGGAGCCAACTGGGTGACTTTGGGCCAGTCACAGACTCTCAGTCCAACCTACCTCACAGGGTTGTTGTGGGGATAAGATGGAGGAGGAGAATGATGCAAGCTGCCTTGAGCCCTTTGTCAGAAAAAGGCAGGATATAAATTGAAAAATAATAAATAAATAAATAATTGGGCAGATGAACCATCCACTAACATCACCTCTGTCTTGTCTGGATCAAATCTATTGGCTCTCATCCAATCCCTAGCATGCTCAGACACTGATTCAGAGAAACTACTGCCTCACCTGGATTTGAAGCAAAACAGAGGTAGAACTGAGTGTTGTCAACATGTTGGGGTACCTCAGCCCATTCCTCTGGATAATTGCACTATAGGATTTACTTCAGGTTCAAGTATCTATTTAAGAGTCTGAATGGATTCAGTACTCTGTTAATATGTTACAGAGAAGCAGTATTTCTGCCATTTCACCTGCTGATTCAGTATGAGAACTGAATAAAGTGTGCCAACCAAATCTACTTCTGTCCCGATTAAAAAAGTGATGTATCCTAAATTCTGATGTGGCATTGTAGCAGGAATTAAACCTCCAGGGTAAGTAACAAAAAGAATATGCATGAGTCTCAAAACCATAATGGCTATGTGGTTCTTCAGCTTGCTTGGATAATTTTAAGATATATTTTTACATGCTATTTGCTCTTTTAAATGTTAAATACAACTATAGAAGATGCCCTTCCTTTAAAGTGTATTTTTGTTGATTTTGATGGAAAAAAATTACGGGAATGTATTTGAGTAACCAGTTCTGTATACGATATCTGCTCTAGATTAGTCCTGCTTGAGTGGCATCATAAATGGGTCCATTCCCCAGCAGTTGTCTACTTCAGATGGAAACCTGACAACCTCTACTTAGCATGTCTTTCATAGTATACAATGAAGTGTAAAACGGCTTTGGAAAAAGCCTGTATTTCAAAACAAACCATTTCTGTAATAAGCACTTAAAACACTTTCATTAATATATTTATGTATAAAAACAAAAAAAATTAATGCAGCTGGAAGGCAACTGGAGGTGGGTGTAGGGTGAGGAAAACAAGAATTACATTTCAGGTTCCAGCAAATCCAAAATATATTAGCTCAAAGTGTGAGGCTTTATGCATCACTGCTTCATGGTGTGGCATTTTCTATACACACATCCACACACACACACAAATCCTAAAGCTCAATCAAAATCCTAAATTAGTAAATATTGAATTTAACCACTTTTATATCTCAGGTATTAGCAAATACCTTTGGTCTACAGAGATACAGCCCCTTCTAATCTTTATCTGAATTTGCAATTAAGACTTCAGAGCTACAGATATCTGTACACAGCTCCATTTGCAGCCCTACTCTCTTATTTTTAAATGATTGGCCCCAAATCAAATCAGTCTCCCAATGCATCAAAAAGTAAATGTCTGATGTCTAATTGAACTAACAGATAACACTCTTTTAAACTGTGCTGCAAATGCTTAGTGCAGGCTTCCTTTACACAGGAGAAGGGAGGGAGGGAGAGAGGCAGGGAGGGAGGATAAAATGCGCTCAGGAAACCTGTCATATTATTACCTTGCAGTTGCTCGGTGTAATGATAGAGCTTAGCAAACATTTTTCAATTATTTGCCAAATATTTTTTAAACAAAAGAAATAAACCTTAAATATGTTTGGAGTGAGGTTCCTACTCTCTTCTACTAATTGTCACCTCAACAGGACATCGTAAGAGCCTCAAAATGAGCACTTATGAGTTTTCTTTTCCAATCTCTTGTGGGCTTCTCTCAGTTTATCGCAAATGAACAATCATGTTGGAAAGGCCTCCGTCTGTTTAATGTCATTAGTGATTGTTTCATAAAACAAACAGCCGCTCCAACATTCTGCTGCAGTTAATCTTAAATCTAAACGTGGCGGCACTCAGGGAGAGTCTTAAACACGGTTTGTTCTAACCAATGCATGTCTCTTAATCTATTGCAAGTCAAGGCGCTTATCTCCCTGTGCTCAACTCAGAGCAATGTTTTCTTTGTCCAGTGCTAAGCCAAACCCAGTTACTACTGTATTTCCAGATTTTTTCTTCTCCTAAAGATTTCTGCCCCAATTGCTCCATTAAATCATGGTCCAAACCCCAAGACATAATTATTTGTTACATATAGCCTTTTAAGCTATATTCTTTCAATTCTGGAAAAGTCAAGCTAAATGAGTGAAAGCCTGAAGGATATATCACTAGACTAGCCCAGCAAGGTGAAAAAATAACAGAGCTCTAAAATCTATGTGGTTTACCCGTTGATACTAAGAAACAATTTACTCAACACTGAGTCTAAGGGTAAAGGGCAGCT